TAATAAAAAAAAATACTATTGTATAATTACATTACTATCCTCGGTCTTACTTGTCTATTACAATGAACAAGGTGTCAATATATACATATATATATAATTATATTAATATTAATGTTATATTAATATAATACATATATTAATATTAAACATATATATATGTATAATACAGTTAGCGTAATTAGTGAATAAAAAAAATCAAAATACTATTGATTCTAAAGTGCACTGCTTGTAGAAGACAAATATTTAGAACATATTATCTCAGCATATTCCATTTTCCTGCACAGCTAAAATGGCAAGCACACTTCTAGTACTAGGCTTGCTTAAAATTGTTCCCTGACACTATGCAAATTATCCAAACAAAGGTAAACTTTATAGACTCATTTGAGCATAAACATTAAATATGAAGTACAAAGTAATGTTTTGTGAATATGTCATGGATTGCATGGGTGAGTGACTGTTGTATGTCCTTCATTTGCGGAATAGTCTATTCCAGTACACACTTTACTAATTTTCTTAAAAGCTCAAAACTGGTTGTTACTAAAAAGCTTACATAACAGCACCAATTAAACATATTCTTATCCTAAATTTGATGTATCATAAAACAAAATATTTTTCAATAAAAGAGGTTCATATGATATTCACAATACTCTTTTAAAAAATTGATAACAATATTGAGATTCATCAGTGAATATAGATATACAAAATTAATTTAAGTGGAATATGAATACAATACTTACTTGTCCACATTTTGATCAGTATCAGATTCATCAAAGTCTTGCTTCACTCGCTTCTTTTCATAAATGAAAATAATAGCACAAAGAACAGCCACTTCAGCACAGATTCCCAAAAATGGCCAAAGTGCAGCTAACTTATCTGTAAAACAATGGTATCATTCAATTTTTAAGCTCATTGAATAATATTTTTCAAAGCTTAAAAACTATAGAAATACACAGAAAAATTGTAATCATTTTTAGTGCTCTGTTTATTTCTCTCTTTGTGTATACAAGCATGTGTTTTATCATAATTTGTTTATAGTTATGAAACTACATGTATTAACATTTACATTACTTAAAACTAAGTCAACAAGTATATGAAGCATGCAGTGTTCTAAAAATTTTCTTTCTCTTTTCATTTTAATGATTTATTAATACTAAAAACTTTTTTAGACAGGAAAGTACTGTGTTTAAAGCATAAACCCTCTGGACAGTAACCTAACATAATGTATATTCAGCCAAGGAAGAGGAGATTACATTTGAGTCACTCTATAAGAGATAATTCAGTTTTTCAGACAAAGGACCTAACAACATACTCATATGTCAAAGAAGAATTTAAAAAATGGATCTTCAAGGTTGTTGAAGTAGATGTTTCAAGGGGAAATAAGAATGGTTCCCTGTGGGAAAGTTGACATGAGAGGAGAAACCATTGAATAGATGGTCAAAGTTGAATGGAGGGGAAAAGCTGGCACTTGCCATAACTGATCTTGTTGAGTGGCAAGGGAAGACGGTGAAAAGGAAGGTAGCCAAAAGTTAACATTTTCATAACCTGAAAATGTATATCCAACAGATACTCAGTTATGCATATAGAAAGCTATCTTTCCTGTACATCTGCCTTAGAGATTTGTATGTCATTAGCCTTTAAGCAACTCCTATCTAATCTCATGAGTTTTCTCATGAATTTCTCTGCTGCATAATGATATTAATATGCAGCAAAAGGCCTCCACCAATAGGAGGGCAACACAATTTCCCTGCATACTAACTCCCTTTATGCTTTTGTACTTGTGATTCTTCATTCTTGATGAGGCAAGTACATCTAAAGTGCACCTGAAGTGGGGAGGAGGGTGGGAAGTTTGTGAAGAAGTAACTATCAGAAATACATTTTCAGGTAAGGAAAATGTTAACTTCCAAATGATACACACCTCTGCACATCAAAAGCTAGAATCCCATGTTGATGTGATTAAGGGACTGGTCCAAAATTTACCTAGATGAGCTCCCTTCAGAAAGTGCCCGAAGGAAACCCATAGAGTGTGACACCCAATGGTATGGGCCCCATAGGGTCACACCCATGGGAGACCACATCTCATCTCCTCCAATGTACACTCTTTGCACAGAATAGAATGGAGGAAGAGACAAACAAGCCCCATTTGTCACAGATATGGGTGAAATAAGAACATGGCTATCCAGGTACTTGCACACAAAAGGTTGAAGAGCCAATATGTGTAGCGTAGTTGGGGCACATTCAGACTGTACTTCCTGAACACCTCATCTTTATCGTCAGACCGACATCAGCTGTGGGAGGAGGTCACGATTTATTAGTAAGTGCTCACCCTAACTCCACAGAAGATGATTCCAGGAGAAAGGCACATGTCTATAGTGTGTGCTCACCTCAACTCTACTGGACAGTCACAGTCTGCAGAAGAAGTGCACAGATCTTAGAATGTGCTTGCCTCAACTCTACTGGACAGTTGTAAGTTGCAGGAGGAAGTCACAGTCTTGTAATGTGCTAAACTCAACTTTACTGAACAGATGCAGACCACAGTATCATATGAAGTACTTCTGGCATGTTGTTGAGATGGCAAAGAAAGTGGGAGATGAAGTTGTGGAAGGTAGTCCACATGCCAGCTTGAAGGACCTCTCCAGTGAGCATCAGAAATGAGTGGTGAGAGGATGAGAGGTAAAAAAAATCTAATGGGATGAAATGCAGACTATTTTCAAGCACCAATCCCTAATGAAGAGTAGACCAAACAAAGAATTTGGCAGAGCCTACCTGTAAAGGTAGAAGGAGATTTGTCCCTATAGGAAGAGGAATCCTAAGAAATGTAGAGTGGAAGGTAGAAACCCTGAAAGTGAGAAATACAAACTAAGTAGAAATGAACAGCACAAACACGGCACAAAAGTCTGTCTGGGTCAGAACGATCATAGAAGAGTAAAATGGAAAGAAGAGAGGGGACGGATAGAGTGGGTGAAGGCTGAGGGAAGAAGGACCAGTCTGGAGAAATAAGAATGTAAAGATGAGGAAAAGGATATGGAATGATTCACTAGCATAAGGATCTGAATGACCGAAACCACAAGGGAAAAGTATGAGGAATATGTTTGAAGAGAAAGTGGTAAAAGTTGCAGGTTGCCAATGGTTTAAAGGGGGCATGGGTAAGAGCATGCAGGGTGACAAAGTGAGTGTGTATATGAATAATGGAGGACTGGAAAAAGTTTGAAAGAACAGGGAAGGAAACACCTTGCAATATCAATAAATACTAAATGTTGAAAACAAGGCCACCCAATAACCAGCAAAGGCAGAGACAGCTGAACTCTGTAGAACAGCCTGGTAAAGGGAAGGTAGATGTCTGACAGTAGAGTTATTAGAAGGAAGATGGTGTCAGATGGACCAATGTCAAAAGTTATGCCACCTATACAGGTAGAAAAATGCTCAGAATGGGAAAGGATTACCAGATGGGAAAATCAAATTCAACAGGCAGTGGACTGGATTAATCCAAACATGAAGGTGGAAGGACAAGATCCTGTGATGGAAAGAGATGGGAGATATTGAAACAATAGAGTGTATAATTGGCAAAGGAAGATGGGGTTGGGTTGTCAGGTGGCACAGAAGAAGGAACCAAGGTTAAGCCAGCCAGAGGGGTATCACCAAGAGGAAATAACAAAGAATGTCTCTAGTCAAGGCTAGGGCATAAGGTAAAGGCCAGAAATGTTGGTGAGCATTATGATAAGCATAAGACCAGATGAGGTGGAAAGCAGCAACAGATGATCAGAATAATGGCTGGAGACGGCTTGAATGGGTTATGAAGAAAAACTTTAATATAACAGCAAATGTACAACTTTTCGACAAGGTTTTGTCATCATCATTTGGTACCTGATGATGACAAAACCTTGTCGAAACTTTGTACATTTGCTGTTATATTAAAGTTTTTCTTCATTACCCATACAAGCCGTCTCCAGCCATTATTAGTCTCAAAGTGGGTTCCTCGTCATCGAAGATGATCAGAAAAGAGAAAGTGGAAAGTGAGAGGATAGGCTAAGCAATGACAAGTGGATTCCCCAAGAGAGCACACCCAGTGGAAACTGGGGGAGAAGAGACCATCTGTGGGCAGAACACGGTCCAGCCAAAAGAGGCAGACTGCAACCCAGTTCATAGTACATGGTACCTGGAATGTGAGGAAACAAATCCATTGACAATTGGCCCAATAAGAAAGTTCCAGAGTTTCAAAGTAAGGGGTTCTGGATCAGATTCTTCCATAACAGTAAATTTAGGAAAACCAAGGAGTTGTCAGAATAAAACATAATGAAATGATCTACTAGGAGTGGTAATAATCGTATCATACCCCACAGTCTAATGGAAGTTTGAGAATGTGGATATGGAGAGAGGACTCATTTTGGGTCCATGTGCCAGATGTACAACTGTCATTCAAGGATGCTCCCCAACAAGAGGGGAATGTATAGGTGAAGAAGTTTAGGTCCAGTTTGGGTAGCAGTAATGGTACACAGATGGTGATATTGAATCAGTCAAGCCACTCATACAAATACTAGAATAAAGGATGGAACAGGAGGCTCATTGAGGTCAAAGAATTCCATGAGGCATCACTCTGATTATGTAAGGACCAACAGAGGAGGTGCATGTGTATGTGACCCAAAGGGATAAGAAGTTCCCATGAAGCCATGGCCATCAAACACTAAACCTCACATGTTGAATGAATAGGATAGACACAAATCCTTGTGACTGAAAGTTTCATAGCTCACAGGCAGATGGGAGAAGGCTTATCCTAGCTGAGAATAAGTTGAACCCCCTCCACATCCCCAGGGAGGTTGTGTTGCCCTCCTATTGAAGATAGCTTTCTGTGTGAAGAGGCATGAATCACCTCAGAAAAAAAAATTCTCCAAAACTTAACTAATAATTTAGACAGCAAGAAACTTTGATCTCAAACTTGGGACCAGTTGAATGAAAGAAGATGGTTATCTGATGTTGTGAATGCATCAATTTTGGATGAGCCACACATATGTGAAAACCACCAGATGGAGAATCCAATCCAGGGAAAGAAACTGATGATCCTGAGAAAACAAGTCTGCCAAAATGTGACAGGCTTTTAGGTATGCACATTGAAAATGAAGCCAAAAAAGTAGACAAACTGTAGAAAAACAAATATTGTAATAATGAGTGTCACAGTAACTATTGATGTAAGTTTTCACTGTAGAACTGTCTGTGTGAACTAACACAAAATGGTGGTGTAGAAAGGGCAGAATATGAGATAAGCATGCTAAACAGCTCAAAGTTTTAACATGTTGATGTGGGCTACTGCTTCCAGAGGATCCAACCTAGAAATGCTGATTCTCCAACACAGCACCTCCACTGAGAAGACGACATATGTGAAAAGATGAAAGTCTACAGGATGAGAAAGAAAAGGGGATTCTGTTGATGTAAATTTGTGGTTCAACCAAAAATTGAGAAAAATGACTGATATAAGAAATAGGCATGCTATTTGACAAGTTCTGAAGATATCCAACTGAAGCAGAAAGTCCTCCGGAGGGTCAGCAGTAAGTTTATGGACTTTTATCACAAAAGTCCAGGGTTTGATTCCCCACAGTGGAAACATCAGATTGCCCAATGTGGCAATGTGCTAAAACAAACACACACACACACACACACACACACACACACGTAGCAGAAAGGATATCTTTAACAGTAAGTGCATGAAACTCCAAGGCTTGAAATTACAGAGAAGACAATAAAATGATCCTTGAACTGAGTTGATCCAAAACCCCAGATGTACAGAATACTGTGTTAATATTACGTAGGAAATGAAGTTATGGATGATCTACTCAAGAGATGTAGCCAAATGGGTGGTAAAGCAAATCTGTACAAGTGAGTAAATGAATAAATGGGTAAACATAAACCAATCATTAATGTAAAAGTAAAACAACTGAACTGCAAAAGCCAGCAAAACTAGACTACTCAAAGAAAAGTTTATGAACCAAAAGGATGGACAGTGAATTAACAAACTAACCCTTAATGGCAAAAAAAAAAAAGGACAAAGATGGGATGAGAGATGAATAGAGATATGAAGAAAAGCATCCTGTATATCCACTATCATCCAAAGGTTGTGAAAAGGAGATTTCTGAAAATGAGACATCTACAAGAAAAGATGAAATGTCTCAAATCTCCTACATTTTTCTAGATGGTAATAAAAACCTGGAGAAATATGATAAATGATTTGACTTCTCCTTCCTGTAGGATCAAGAATGTGCAAGTGACTGGATCAAAAGGTAAAAGAAAGACATTACAACCAGACTGAAGAAGATGCCAAAATCAAGAATCTTATAGTAAAGGATACCACAGAAGAACCAATGCTCTAAGACAACTCTCCTAACAGTCCAGACAAGGTGAGAAACTTGTGTAGAACAATCACTGAGTGGATCAAGAAGAACCAATTTTCTTATGTTCACATTTGAACACTCTGTAGGGTCCAAAGAAATGAGTAGAAGTAGTTGAAAAGTTAGGGGGGGCAGACAAGTACTTTATAACAAAGCACAACAAGCTAAGGTATTAAAGAAACAAAATAGTTGCATGGTAACAGAACTGTGAAAACTGGAGCAAATAAAGACAGTAAAGTAAATATTTGATTCTGACTAAAAGAATGATGAAAATGAAAGTAGTTAGTATTTAATAATCATTTTATGGCGAAAGTCTCAGAGTTAGATAGATTTATAGCATACAGGGTACAAAAGTGATAGTGGGTCAAAATAAACCTTTTGAATCCCCCCCCCCCCAAAAAAAAATCATCCGAGGAGAAAAAGCTTGAGAAGTGAGAATAATGGAAGACAATAACCCAGCTAAAATGCTAAAAGTATCATCAGTAGTGCCCAAAAATCAGAAGGCAAAAAATATACAGGTTCAAGAAACATGACATCAGTACCTACAGGTAACATAATAGTTCAAGATTTAAAATTGAAAAAACCCGAGGTAAAGGAAAATCAGATTAGAAAAAGATTCTTCTGAATTAGGGCTAACTAACACATACTGCTCTTCATACAATGAAGGTGAATAGCCTACATGATAGATTTTTTTTTATCATCATTAGAAAAGAACTGATGTTTTTTTCAACTGAACAGTAACAAGAATGTGAAATCTGCCAAGATAACCAGTAGACTGACAAAAACATAAATAATACATTGATATACATTGATAATCAAAAAGAGCCAACAATACACCCATGCAATCTCACTGTATGTTAAAGGCAGACTACACAAGTCATGTATGCAAAGCTGTAAGTTATCTATATTGATAGAAACACTAGCAGCAGTAGTTAATGTTGACTTCAAAATTCACAGTAAGCGAAGATAATATGTCTGTCAACAAAAAACTGCTTTAAGGCAGAAAATCAAGGCCTATGCACACTCTCTTCACACATGCAAAATTAGCCCCATGGAAGTTGGGGGAGTATGGCTGCATTTCATCAAGAACATTCAGAATTTGAAGTCACATGTTTGTTTAGTATTTTAGAGGTAAGTCTACCAGATTTGGATTAAAGTAAAATCCTGCAAAGGTTTTTTATGATAACAATCAATGTTCAAAAATATACCAAAGTTTATAAATCTTCAATCAAGAAAAAGTAATAAATAATTATTTTGTTCAACAGTAAATTTAATGTTTTTGTTACCTTGTACCTTGATACATTGAGGTATATAGTAATAAAGAATAAAGTAAAATTAGGCTTACTCAATTCACTAAATTAAACACATTATAAAAGGAATACAAAGCGCTGATTTCTTTATTAATGAACCTGTATTATACATAATTTTTATAATTATCAATTATCTAATTTGGAAACAAAACAGTTTTGACACCAGAGATGTTAACTTCTTCACCAATAGATTTAAATTACACTTTACTTCCATTGTTGCCAATTTAGAACTTGTGGCAATCTCACCATAGAAAATTTGAGAATTAGTTCTTAATAGTTTTCATTCTTATCAGAAAAACCAAATTTATTGCGATATCTCAAAAGAAGAATAGAATTTCTGTTACTAAAAGTTTTGAATTTTCAAATGATATCAGAGACTATAAATCTGACTGAAAAACTGAATACTAATTTAGATATAAAAATCACTGTTTACTAATATTATTTTGGAAAAGGTTATAAACATGAGTGTCAATATTCTCTATAATAGCTGTGGTATCATTAATGGAATAATTAACCATATTTTATTAAGCTGATGGAATTTGCTACAAAAGATTAATATTTTGTTCCTAACAATAGAATTTACGAACAAATTGATGCGTTCTAGTTTATCTAACTTATTCCTATCTTATTATGAAAAAGATATGGTTAAAACAATACTCTAATGTATAACCTTTTCTTAATTATTTAAATATGATAAATAAAGAATGCCAGTGATATTGGTACAATATTATTCTTGTGAACATTTTATTATGCTGAAGGGCAAAGTGAAGAAAGTTTTAAGATCTGGCATATCCACAAATTTCTGTCAATATTGTAGAAAAAAAAAACTCATTTTAGAAACTTTTTTTTAGAACTTGTAGATAACACTTAAAAATAAAAATACACTTGTGTGATTTATGAGTTTAAGTGTAACTATTGTCAACAGCATTATACTGAGTCTATTGCAAAAGTACTCAAAGCATGAATAAAAGTATACCAAAGTGCTAGCTTTTTAAATTTATCGAGTATTTATATACATAGCAGCCAAGAATGTAATGGTGTTCCCATTCCTAATGATTTTAATACTGACAACTTTGACAAAGACAAAATGTCTTTCAGAATAAAAGAAGGGATTTTATTCCAACAGATGATGCCTTTTGCTCAATGAAAAGAATTCAAGTTTTGCATTGAAGATATCATTAATGTTCTGATCATTCAATCCTTGATTTCATGTTTCATTCAAAAACTTATTAAATATACTGCACTAAAGAGCAAAGAATACACATGCATTGAAATTCAAACTCAATATTTCTAACATATATATATACATACATACACCAACTTTAAGTTGTAACTTAAATATGCATTAAAACTCAAATTTTCCAATATGTATGCTTCATGTGTCATGAAAAACTATTAAAAACCTTCAAATATTTTTTATTATACAGAAACTTTTAAAACTATATTTGAAATGTCATTATAACCTTTTCCAAAAATTTAACATTTTCACACCAAACCTTTGTACAAGTGTATATCTTTCAAAATTATATAGTCTTTTATATAAAAAAATTTTCCACATACAAAAAAATTGCATTACAGTATGACAAAGAAACACATAAACAGCCTATCAGACTATCACTTATAACTGGTCTTTCAATGACTGGTTACTTTTGCTGAAAGAGTTTCATGAAAATTTATGTTATTATCCTACTCCAACTTTTTTTCTAAGTTGTAAGATTATACCAATTCTATATTTATCAGAGTCGCAAATCTTTCAGCATTTAAAAGGTACCAATATGATTGCACGTACTTGGTAGCATTTATCTTTATTTAAATCTATTCTGATTTCATATTTTGCCCCAATAATGATAATATGCAGTATATGGCACTCAAAAGAAGACAATGTTGACATCACTCATTCAGTTATTTGGGTCTGCTCCGATATGCTAACAGTAGTACTCATATAGACTAATTTTGTACCACTGGTTTTAATGGAGAAAAAGATGACACCACATTCATCACTGCTTTGCATTTAGCACAAAGTACTATGAAAAGTATTTACCAATTGACCTGAAGGCTCACAAAATAATTAAATCTTCTCATTTATCATTATATCTCTATAAATGAAAGGTTCATTTCTGCTGATCACTGCGAAAACTTGTTTACAGGTGCATAACTGTAAATTGATATGGACAAAATTTAATATTAGATGATGCAGTTATCACTGCGAAAACTTGTTTACAGGTGCATAACTGTAAATTGATATGGACAAAATTTAATATTAGATGATGCAGTTATACATGTATACAACAGTAAAAATGCAAGTAACTTCACAAACAGGTTAGTGAAAAATGACTGGTCGTATAATTGTTACTGAGAGATGCTTCAATTCCTATCATTACTAAAAATAAAGAATTATTAACAAAAGTTTTTTCATTTTTTTCACAACAGAATGACTGTCTGATACATTTCAAATTGCCAACCTGTTGTTTTAATATATTATTAGTTGTTCTATACTATTCTAGAAAATAATAAACACAAAATTAAGTTCCAATGTCTTGATTAACAATCCTGATTACCTTTAACTCGAACTAGTACAGTGTTTGTTACATTGTTCACACCATTGTTTGCTTCACAAGTGTAATAAGCTCGATCATCATAATCTAGGTTTTCAATGACCAGCTTAGCATCAGGGACTCCTCGATCACTATTCTCCAGTTTAATACGTGGATCTGAAGTATTCAGTGGCATTTCATCTAAAAACATATAAAATATTTAATGTTAGTGATAGTATGTGTATGTAAGTATGCATGTACAGAGAGAGAGAGATTGCAGGTGACCTTAGAATATATAATCACCAAGTGGTTGAAAATAGGCACATACATAATACTTCCCTGGAAAATGTGATATGCTACAGGAGTATATTAAGATCAACAAAAGCAAAATTCATTACAACTACCTTTAATACAAAACTACAAGACACTGTCTTAGAAAATAACTTGCTGTAACTTTAAACACAAACTCTCTATTAAATTTGTAATCTGTATTTATGGCAAAGCTACTAAAGCTGTCTGTTGCTGTCCCTAATTTTGAACTACTGACTAGAGGGAAGGTAGCCATTCACCAAGCATGGTAAGGGTTTGACCTCTGTCTTTAAAGAAAAATTCAAGATATTACTAGTGATCTGAAAACTGTATAGCTCACGTTTAGCATTTCTGTTCTTTATAAATTACGTGATGTTGGGAGATTCTCAAAAGTCATCTATATTCTGTACAAGTCTATTTTGTCATTACAGTAATTACCAAAGAAATATAATGAGAGGCTTCTTTAATAATTTTTTTACTCTAAATTATTGGGTTTAGCTGTTTGCAAGGAAAACATTTTATTATCACAAACTCTAACTGTTGTAAAACTAATGAATTAGAAGAAAAATAATTCAAGTTTACTTGCTGAGGTCTTTCTTGATATTATAGAATTAGAAAAATCTTTATGAACTACTAGCTTTACCTCTATACAACAAAGTTTGCAAAGTAAAAAGACTTTTAATGTACATGTATAATACTACTAGTTAATTATCCTGCATTCACAATCTTAAAGAAGGTTACTAGGTTATCATTTAAAACCCCAGAAAAAAGATGAAGTTATCTTTTTACAAGGAATTGATGAAAAACAGAATCATTGATTTCAGACTGATCTTTACACATTCCTTAATGCATTTAAAATGGGATCCTATTTGTAATTCTTAGTACTATGCACTAATTCTCAATACAGTTTTAGATGGTAATCCAAGTTACTACTAACAATTTGCTATAATAAAAGTAATTACAACTTTAAATATCTTACTGACCTATAATGACAATAATCAGGTAAAAAGACAATAAACAGTACTTAGTTATACTCCTCTGTCTAAACTTTCCCTTAAAAAAATTACTATTTACACTCTGACATTTCTGTGTTAACTACAATTTTAATTTACACTTTCACAATTACTTCAAAATACAACAGTTCAGCATTTCTATTATGAACAATTATACTGCACAAATATACCAGTGTAAAATTCATGCCATCCTACTATTATTTTAAGCAATTCATTTAAACACATCTGTAATCAGCATTATACAATTTGCAGTGTATATCTAATTAACTTACACAAACACAAAACTGATCTTTTCAATTATACCAAAAGATAGAATTCAGTGATTATGATATCCTCTCACAATTCAATCATTATATTTTATTTAAATGCTACATGTATTCCAAATTGATTTTTCTTTGTTACCCAAATGTAACAAGTAAAGCTGGAAGCCAAAGCTTCACACAATTAGTAAATAAAAAAGATTATCAGTTATTACAAAACTGTTAACAAATAACTCTTAGCCCATTTACTGCAGCTGGTACATGTATAGTTTTTAAATGTTTTTTGTTGTTGTTGATCACTGCATCAACTCATCACAGTCAATGCTATCTAGTAAATCAATAAAATAATCTGCATTATCCCCAGCTCTCCAGCACTTGTTGCTTCGGTAGTGAGATGTTGTCATACAAGCCTCTCTAACATCTTGATGGAAGCTGATGCATAGAAGGGAGAAATAATTGACTTACTGTATGGTAACATATAGTGGAATAGCAATGGACAGTATTATCACAAAAATGTATAATCCAACATCTCATGCAGGAAGTTTAAAAGCAAGAATCATATGTGCCAGCCACAGTGAACAGAAAACATTTAGAGGCCATATATGTACCAGTTACAGTGAATGGGTTAACAATGACATACACATGGATTTATGTGCATAGTTAATTAAGTCCACAATTTTCATAGCACTAAGTCAATGCAATTTTGGGAAGCAAATTTAACATTAGAATACACATATGATGGATATTATTAAGTGGCCATGAGACTATACATACTTCTACTTTACTAAACAACATATGTAATCCCTTCCATGTAAGAATTGTCTTGGAATTGAGATAAAAAAAGTCAGTTTTGTTATTTTGTTTTCAATAGCTTATACTTATATATAAATAAAGCAAACGTTCTTTTATGATCTGTTATTATATTTTTGCACAAACTATACTTGATAAATAAATTTTGTATATCTGGATTTATATATGATAAATATTATTTCAATGTAACTACAGTAAACAATAGGAATGTTTTTCTTTATTGTTTATGATACATAATTCAGAATAAATGTGACAGAGATTATCACAACCAGCATTTCCAATGCCATCTAGTGAGCACCGATTGTAATACATGATAACATGTGAATAAATTCAGGCAAATAATTAAAAATCTGGCAAGAAATGGTTTACCCAAATATTTTTTTTAAACTTGGAGGGCATCCAAGCTATCTCCGGCAAATCACAGAAGGGATTAAACATGAGTATTTTAGATAACTAAACTGATCAATAAGTGTTAACAGATAACCAATCAATTTGCATAATAAATACGAAGTACAATTTACCAGCAGCAGTACAAATGGCCAAAGAAGTGGGTTATTTACAATACATATTTAATGACTTAAAATTGAAAGTGTATACCAAGTAAAATCATCTTTGTTTCATATTCATATGATGAAAATTAGATGAAAAATAATTTTTCATTTTCACTTATCATTGGGAATATAAAGCTTGGTGCTTCATACAAATAGCTATTTCTAAATATTTTTTTCTTACTTTTCACGTTTGTAAATTTCCATGCTCTTCAGTTCTTGTTATACATATTGACTTTATTTTTGCCAATTCCATACCTCTTCACTAAATCTACTTAATATTTTATAAATATGCAATTTACATAATAGCTTCATATCAACATATATTAAAATTACTTTTCATTTTACAATATCATTATTATGCTAATTTTTGCTACTAAACCTTAGTGCATAATTTATTTTATGTTGTTTTACAGTATTTTTGTATTAATTTTATAATTTTGTTTTCCCAAGACCCGTGTTTGTTACTGATGGTATCCTTTTTTGTATAACATTTTTTCAGAGTATCAATCTCTCACAATGGTAACCAAGTGTTTACACACTAGTAATAAGTATAGTATGAATTAGCTCAATAAGCTTGGCATTGTGCAAGTGTTAATAGGTCTCTCTTTCCCATGTTTTCACATGTTCTGACCAGGGTGTGTTCCATTTCAAAATTCTTGCCAAAAGCCAAATACTTTCTTCAGAAGTACACATAATTATTTCTCTACTCTGCAAATGTTTAAAACTAACACAGTGTTGTGCAGGTAGTGCACTACCCAGAAAGATGCTGTTTACAGAAATTTTGGAAAATTAGGACTTATTTTAATTTGTAGAGAGTATTATCAAAAATGTTGCCTAGTGCAAGTTTGTTTGAAAAATTGGGGTTTACTTCATCTGTAAGTAATATTAATGTATTATAAATATTTTACTGTACGGTTAAAAAAAAAGTTTTCTTTCTTTAGAGAGTTTAGAAATTCAACAATGCCTACATATTACAGCAAAACAGAAAACAAACATGTTACAATCTCTATATAGTTTATGTAGTTAATTTGCAAATTATTATTTCATTAATTATAATTTTGGAAGTTATAACTACGCTATTCAAAATGCATAATTTATATGAATAATGTATAGTGTACATTAATGAATGATAATTAAAGAAGTATTAAACATTATTAAGAAGTGGATTTGACATGGTACATATAAATCTACTACAATACTAATTTTCAAGTGTATTTTATTTGAAAGTATTCTGTCAACTGTATATTAGAAACAAGAACTTCAGCCTATAAACATGATAGGCCTTATGAGAAATAAATGTACCATAATGAGATGAAACAATGTCTATGTGCTAAAAGAATGGACATAAGTAAAATTAAATTAAAAGTAACTTAAATCTTGATTTGATATAAAGCATGAAAAACATTATCTATGTTGATAATTGTATGATAAGTGCAGTGTAATAACGTTTAATTAAAAACAGTTTTAAAAATCCTACTTACCTACTCTAATTTTTTCTAACATTGTTGCTACAAACTTTATTCTTTTTTTGGCCTAATGTACAGTGACAAATAAACGTGTAATAAGAATAGAAATTTTCAAATAAATTATATATGGACACCTCTGCCCTACTTCCTACTGCACTGTGCTACCCACTCAGACTCTCTCTGGAGGGATCACACATCTTTTGAGGAACTTTCCAAGTCAGTCACTCAAGCAGCTAGGAACTGGAAGTGGTAAGGATTTTCAATGCTTCACTCTAAAAGTGGGGGAGGGGGCAGGGAAGAATTCATGTTGGGAGTCACCAGATATTCTCAGACACAATTGAACCTAACCCCTGCAAAGTTCTTTTACGTGAGAAATGGTAATGAGTTACTACAAAGCCTAATTTCAAAAGCTGGCATGCACGAGCCAAGGAAATGGGCAGCCACTCACCCGATGCTTGCTTTTTCCATGATGTTGGAAGGTACAGTCTGGAATGTACAATGAAATACACATACATACATATGCCACCTTAAAGGTACTTTAGCAGACAGGTCAGTGATGTTTAATGCTTTTCATTATCTCTGACTCAATGTGAGTTGAGGGAAGTAAATCTATGCTGTGAGGCCACATCAGCCACCAGGTGGGTTCAGAGAAATGAGTGGGAGAAGGATATAAACAGGTACAGAAGTAAAAGAGGCATTTACCCATTAAATAAAGTGAGTAGACTGGAGGGAGGTAACTAAAGAGGGCCAATATCTTGAGAGGGATGAAACCACCAGATGGTGAAGATAAAG